AGTCTCAAACTACCTATCTGTATATATCTGACAGGCAAATAAAAACAAAGCGTTCTTTCTCTTCTGTATTGGTAAGAAGGGGTCTTTTTGTTGGCAAGATTTTCTTATTGCCCCAACATACTTTACAGAGTTGGTTAATAATAAACTAAGTTTTTAAATAAATTTGAGACAAACTACTTTCCAAGGCAGCAAAATTTATTTTTATCCTCTAAATTTTTCCAGACACACAATTTCAAGACCCACTAGCCCTTGAATCTCCTCCAGAATCAAGCAGTTTCATTCCATAAAATCAAAATAAATTCCAGATGAATTAAAGAGTTACAGGTAAAATATGAAAGCATTAAAGAATTGTAATGGGAAAATGGGCCAAGAATCAAGAATCACATACAAAAAGGAACACTAAAAAAAAAGCAAAGAACTCAGACTAAGGTAACATGATACCATGTTTCCAATTACTTTTTCATATTTGACAATAATAATATATAGCTAAGTGAGGGTATAGGAAAATAAGGCCTCAAACACAATTGCTAAGAGAATAAACTGATAGAGCCCTTTTAAAAGGCGAATTCACAATGGCTGGCAAATTATAAAATGCATATACATTTTAACCCAATAATTTGATTCTAATCTTCTTCAAAAGTAGTCATAAAAATAAGTAAACACAAGTACAAAAATGCTCATGGAAGTACCATTTGTATGTGAAAATCAGAAATAGTATGAATGTCCATCAACAGAAAAATAGTTAAATTATGGCATAGCCATATAACTGGAATATGATGCAACCACTTTTAAAAAAGTGAAGCACAGTCATTTCTCAGTATCCATGGAGGAATCTGTTCTAGGACCTCTTGAGGACAACAAAAATTAACAAATGCACAAGTGCCTTACATAAAATGACATCATATTTGTATATAGCCTGCTCACATCCTCCAACACACTTTATCTCTACTACTCATAATATCTAATACAATGTAACTGCTGTACGAATAGTTACACTGTATTGTTTAGAGAACCATGACAAGAAAAAAGTCTGTGCCTATTCAGTGCAGAGGCAATTCTTTTTTGAATATTTTTGATCCATAGTTTGTTCAATCTATGAATGCAAAACCTGTGGATACATAGGGCTGAATATACATGAACAAATCATTCAGAAAGGCAGACACGACATGCAAAGAAAGCAACTTATAAAATAATGACTCTGTTTTTACTGAAAGGAGAAAACAAAAACAGAAATCTCTATGTATGATAATATGTTTATTAATAGAAATCATGTTTTAAAAAAATCTTACAACATGGGAAAATCCTAATAATATAAAGTGAAAAAAGTATGCTACAAAGTTGTATAGGTAATGACACAAACAAAAGTAGCACAATAAAAATAAACACGGTTATCAACTATCTCTGAGTAATCTAATTCTGATCTGTTCTTTACATATTTTTTATTTTCCAAAAAGTATAAATATTTCTTATATAGCATTCAAGTTGATTTTATGAAGAGACAGGATCTTGCTATGTTGCTCAAACTGGTGCTGAACTCCTGAGCAACTAAAGCAATCCTCCTGCCCCAGCCTCCCAAGTAGCTGGCACTAGGGTCAGGAGAGATTCTGACCCTAAAAAAATACCAAGAGATTGGGTATAATGATGTGAGTTCATGTACAATGAAGACTTTTCAAAAAAAGAAAGACTTAAAAAAAAAAAAAAAAAAAGGAACCAACCTTGGGTTCTATTAATTGTCGTTACTACATCTTTACGTTCTATATTATTAACACATATTCATATGTATATGTTCTGAGCATTCTTCTTTCTCTTTTTCATTTGAGGGCTCAATTTATTATTTCAGTTTTCTATTACACATGAAGCATTTAAAATAAAAATATATCCCCGATTTTTGCTTTAGTTTTGTCTTAAATATTTGATATTAGTTTTCTCATTATCCACTTTGAAAGATGTAATACTTCCCATTAAAATTTATTCTTAGAAATATATAATCTCTTTATTATATATTTGGATTACAAAAAAAAAAAAGAAGAAGACTTTTTAAAACTATATATATTTACCAAAACTTATCTATGCTGAAGAACGTTCCCTCATTCAGACTGGTTACTTTAAATATGTTTCTTCTCATGTTCTACTACTAAAAATAATTTTGAACTTTTATAGTTTAAAATTTCCTTTGATCAGCTCAGGTAACACACAAAAAAGATCTTTCTTAAAATTAGTATTAACTAACATAATCACCCAACTTTTATCACCTAGGCTAGCCCTCAAATAGATTTTGGCTCATTCTAAAAAAACTCTAGCTTCAAAGGACAAAAATTTAGCACAAGTTCTGTCAGTTAAAACAATATGCTTCAACTTCCAGCTTGTCTGGGGACAAGGAATAGACTCTGGTTTCAGAAGTTTCCCCCAGATTAACTTAAGTATTCACTGTCATCCACACTGCGTTTCCATAGATGCCCAAGAATCCCCTCCATTCTTGTTCACTCATGGTCTTCCTGAGCATTAAGGGTCCTCTCCTCAGTCACAATTCTCAAAATCTTATCATCTCTTTAACAATACGCTCAAGATACACCTGCTTAGTCAAATTGTGCCTCTTTTGAACTCCAGAAGCATCTTATCATCTGTGCTACTGACTTGGTCAGCATATGTTATTTTTACACAGACATTCTTTTCATATACTCTAACTTTCCAATTACAATTTACAAGTAACAAGAAGACATAGTTTCATCTTCAATGCAACTCACTGTAGATACAGACTGAGTGGCCCCTCCAAGAAACACAATAGGTGTTTGTTTTCTTTTGTTGTATACAAAGACTGGGATAGCATTAATTTGAGCCTATTCGATTCCAGTGGGCCTTGAATGGCTGCCTGCAAATAATGGGTTTTTTTCCTGCAGTAATGGAGACACCAACTGAAAGTTCTGAGTTCAAAAATTATATGATAAAAGTTTAATTTAGAAAATGTGGTCCACAGCAGCCAGATCATAGGAGGGTAATAATTTCTATAGCAAGGAAGATAGTTGGCCCAACTAAAGGGTTAAGTACAGGGCTTTAGTCAGAAAGTACTGACCTCTGTTACACTGGGCAAGTTACGGCTTCCGTTTCCTTACCAGTAAAATGAAGATGATAAAACCAGATCCGAGCCAGGCCTGGTAGCACACAACTGTAGTCTTAGCCACTCAGGAGGCTGAGGCAGGAGGATTGCTTGAGCCAAGGAGTCAAGACAAGTGGGAGCAACACAGTGAGACCCCGTTTCAAAAACAAACAAACAAATAAAAAACAAAAAAACTAGAAACAAGTTGAAAAACCTCCAGGTCTTGCACACTGTGGTGGGCGTTACATGAAATAATGCACGCAGCACACATACCACAATGCCTATCAAAGGGTTAGCACACTGCACTCTGTGACCAATTCTCTGACACCAACTAGGTCTCCTACAATTCAATTCAATTCCAACACTACCTGGAGTTAACATCAGATTCCACAAGTTAAAGAACAAGGTTTCCAACAAGACTGCTCTTACTTCAGACATCCCCAGACTATCCACACTAATGTCAAACTTGGCCACAAATTCAGATTCCCAAAACCTCCCTTCAGTTTCAACAATTCTCTACAACAATTAGCAGAAATCACTGAAAGCACTATACTTAAACAATCACAGTTTCATTATAAAGGATACAACTCAGGAACAGCCCAATGAAAGACGTGCACAGGGCAAGGGAAGTCTAGGGAAGAGAGAAGAGGGACGCAAAGCTTCCATGCTTTCTCCTGAAGAAATTCACGTGTTATTATAGAATATATGGTTTGGGGGGAAAAAAACAGAAATCCAGATGTCATCCTCCTAGCTAACCAGTGTGTTCACTGCTGCCGTAGGGTTTTTATATGGGGCTTCATGTTCTAGGCAGGAGTGATTAAATCACTGGCCAGATAACTCGGCTTTGCTGTAAAGTCCCTCTCCTCTCCCTAGGAGAGACCAGGAGATGGGCTAAAAGTTCCAAGGTCTCTCTGATGTGGACAGCTCCTTTCCTGAACTATGGAAGGGCCCACCCAGAGTCACCTTCTTAAGATAAACTCAGGTGTGATCAAACGAGATTCTTGTTATAAATAACAAAAGATACACCTATAAGGAAATTCCAAGAGTTTTTGAAGCTCATTGTCAGGAACCAAAGACAAAGACAGATACAATGGATTCTTCACTATATCACAGAAACAACAAATGGAGACTATCAGAAACCAACTAGTATGCTAGTGAAGTAGTGTAAGCATAAAGATAAGGAGAAGAAACATCAAAAGCATTATAAAAGCAGCAGCAATAAAGGGGGAAGGGTGTTGAAATTATCTACAAAGGTTCTAGTCTGGACAATTGAATAGACAGAGACAGACATATGCTGGCAGGAAACTGAATATGAGATTGAGAATGAATTTAGTTTTAATCACATTGAGACTGAGGTGACAGCCAGGGATTGCAGATTAACACTGGGGAGACAGAGGTCATGAGCCTAGAGATGAGAGAGGACATGGCCAGAATCAGTTGTCAGAGTTATCCACATAGATGAACGCCCCTGGACACCCTCAAACCATTTTTGAAATGTTTCAAAAAGAGGATACTAGCTAAGCTATGTTGCAAACGAAAGCAAGTTACTGCACTCAGCGGAGTGTGTAAGGGATGACCTCTAAAAAATTTATTATTATAACTCTAAATAAAATAGTACCTAATCTTTAAAATAAGAGATTCAAAAAGAATCACACAACCAAATGCCAAACAGAAATGCTGGTTTTGTTCTTTCACAGAAATGTATTATTTTATTATCTAAAAAAGGACATTTATCTCCCTCCAACAGAAATGTTTATTTTTCAATGAAAAGGTTATAGAACAAGCATAGAATATGCCAACAATACAACATAAACAGGAACAACTATGAATCAATTCAAAAAGCTTTGTGTTCAGACACATGAAACAAGACAATAACCTCAAGCATCTAATCATTACAAAGACTTACCCAAAGCGTTTAGAGTCCTGCTTTTTACAGTACGTTCAGTAGCTAGAAACTGCCTTGTTAACTGACCATGGGTTCAAAAGCATCACAATTTACTTTCCCTTGGAATGCACGTATCACATCATCCATTTGTTGCCAGCTTCCCAGAAGAGAATACCCACTCTGTTTTTCAGCCTGTGAGCATGATAAATGGGAGAAAAAAAAGAGAAAGCAGAGTTTGGGAACGGTGCACTGGGATAATCAGATGGTTCATGAAGTAAACAGGTTATTATGGGCCCAGGGACCTGAAACACCTGAGAACCGACTGGATTAATGCACAGGCAACTCAGGAAGCTGAATTTGCTTAACAGATTAAAACACTGGCTTCTTCCACAAAAGAAGAAAAGAAATCCATTGTACTTCCAACAAATATCCTCTGCATATAAAAGGGCAAGAATAATTTGTATTGTTATTATTCACAACTTACAAGGTTGTAAAACAAACCAAAAACAGTGAAAGCTACAAATCCCAGAGTAGTAGATAACCAAGAACATTGCTCTAGCCAGCACCTGGGTTCCACTGAAGACACTCAGTAATCTTTTCGGTAGGTTTCAGATGTTCACAATTTCCTTACATAGATCTGAACTGCTACACTTTTTTTTTTCTTCTTTTTAGATAAGGATTCACAGCTCCAAGATCTCTGACAACGACTAGAAAAAACTGGAGTCAGTCCCCTCCAAAAACGCCTATTTCAGCTGGGCGCAGTGGCTCACACCTGTAATCCCAGCACTTAGGGAGGCCAAGGTGAGGGTATCACCTGAGGTGGGGAGTTCAAGACCAGCCTGACCAACATGGAAAAACCTCATCTTTACTAACAATACAAAATTAGCTAGGCATGGTGGCACAGGCCTGTAATCCCAGTTACTGAGGAAGGCTGAGTCAGAAGAATCACTTGAACCCAGGGGGAGGAGGTTGCAATGAGCCGAGATCTCGCCACTGCACTCCAGCCTGGGCAACAAGAACGAAACTCCACCTCAAAAAAAAAAAAGAATCTTTCACAAAGATAAATTTTTCTCTATCATGTGCTAAACCAGAAATTATACTATTAATTTATATCTCAATGCGGAAATAAATTAGTTCACTAGATTGTCAAACCTTTTAAGAGATCTAAAACTAAAGAGAATTTGGTTTTACTCAACAACGACCTACAGAATTTCTCTGGAGAAATAAAGACATAGTTAAGCTGTTACTTCCAAGTAACGAACCCAAAACTAGCTCCTTAAAGTGTTTTAGTGGCCAATTCATGCATCTCAATTTCCACCCTATATTTTCTTCCATAAAAAAAGTAATCCCTGTCCAACTTTCAATTCCAGCAAGATCAAGTAAATGTACCTTCTCCTACTGCTCCAGCTAAGTACAACTAAAAATCCTGGCCATTATACCTAAAACAAACATGGGAAGACTGAATTCTGAAGGCAGAGAAAAGGCGAACCAGGTAGGGGCCTCGGGACCCAAGGAAAACATGGTGGTGAGTTCCCTGGGTTTTCTTTTTGCTTCATCATATACCACAGATAACGGGCTTAAAAACAAAAACAAGCAAACCAAAAAACAAACAACAAACACCCCTCCTCTCCTAACCCAAAGAAGGGAGCAACAACATGCCCTCCAGCCAATACCACAGAAAAAATTGTGGCCCAGCCCCACCTACAATAGCAAAAGCCAGGTGAGGAGCCTAAGTTTCCACCCTTAGGAGTCTGTAATGTGCCACAACCTGCCTCCCAGGTGTCTCCACCCCTTATCCCTGCAGGAGTGATATTCGAGAAGCTGGGCTTTCTTCCCTGACAGGTGGTAATAAGACCCTGCCAGGGAGTGACTATGGAGACCACCTGGAAAGCCTCTCCTCCCATGTGGCAGTAATGAAACACCCCTTCTCATCCCCACTGGCATGGTATCAGAGGAGGCCTAGCAGACAGTCAGAACTTTCCCCTCAGCCCAGGGGTAAGAAGGCCATCCCCTCCCAGTGGTGTCAGTAGAGTCCTAAAGAGGGGCTGACACTCCCACACCTGCCCAGCAGTAATGAGGATGCCCACTTTGTGTGTTAATAGATCAGTTCCTCAAAATCACAAACTACCACAACTTACCCAAAATTAAATGGATTATCTGAATAACCCTAATAATTGTTAAAGAAACTGAATAAAGCCTTCAAAAAAGAAATCTGGCCCAGATAATTTCATTCAAGAATTCTACCAATGTTTAAAGAATTAACATAATTCTACACAATCTTCTTCAGAAAACAAAAGGGTAGGGAGCACTTCCAAATTTTTTTTTTTGAAACAAGGTCTCACTCTGTCACCCAGGCTGGAATACAGTGGCATGATCATGGCTCACTGCAGCCTCAACCTCCCAGGCTCAAGTGATCCTCCTGCCTTGGCCTCCCAAGTAGCTAGGACTACAGGTACAGGCTACCACATCTGGCTAACTTTTTAATTTTTTTATAGAAAGAGTCTCCCTAATGTTGCCCTGGCCAGTCTTCAACTTCTGGGCTCAAGCAATCCTCCCAAAGGAGATGATTTTAGCCTACCAGAGTGCTGGGATTACAGGCGTGAGCCACCATGCCCAGCCTAAGAAGGAGATCTATCAGCAGACAGAAGTGGAGAAGGCCATAATGTGATCATAAAGGGAGAGATTAGTGGCACAGCCATAAACCAAGGAATGCCATCAGCCACCAGAAGCTAGAAGAGGCAAGGAGCAAATTCTCCGTAGATCTTCTAGATGCGGCATGGCCCTCTAACACTGTGATCCTGGCTGACTGATACTGATTTCAAAATTCTGGCCTCCACAGGAGAATCGCTTGAACCCGGGAGGTGGAGGTTGCAGTGAGCTGAGATAGCACCATTGCACTCCAGCCTAGGCAATAAGAGCAAAACTCGATCTCAAAAAAAAAAAAAAAAAAAAAATTATTGCCTCCAGAACGCTGAAAAATAAATGCCTGTCATTTTAAGGCACCATGTTTGCAATAATTTGATGGCAACCATAGGAAAATAGTATAAATACTTCCCCATCTCCTAGAAATGTTATAAAGAGCTAATAAATACGTATGCAAAAGACATACATATTTGACTAGTCTGAAGTACAACTGCAAAAGAGAAAATTAGATACAATTTCAGAGTTTCTCATTTGAAATGAGACTATAACACACTCCTAATTTTTTTATAGTTAAATAGACATAAAAAGAGAAATAAATACAGCTTTGGAAATTATATCCATTAGATCCAATTATATCCAATGTAGATTCAGTTTCCTGAAGATTAGCCTACTCAATAGACAAGAACTGTTTATCACAGTAGCCTAGCAAATGAAGACTTAATCTTGATTAACTCTGACTTCTAGTATATTTCTTCTCTGAAGGAAAGAGGAGCTAAATTGTATAGGTTTCATTACTACCATAAATAAATTCAACAAAATAAGGTCACTCTAGCACTTCTTGGAGTCCTCTAGATTATTTCTATCCTGCTTCTCCACTGCTTTTCCATTCTTAGTGAACAAAGCAAACAGAATTCTTCCTTTAATTTAATCAATTGGTCTTAATGAACCACCACGTTAAAAATGTAAACAACCTAGGACCAGGTGCCGTGGCTCACTCCTGTAATCCCAGCACTCTGGGAGGCCGAAGAGGGAGAATCACTTGAGCCCAGGTATTAGACAGCAGCCTGGGTAACACAGAGAGACTTCATCTCTACCAAAAAAAAAAAAAAACAGAAAAATTAGCCAGGTGTGGTGGCACATGCCTGTAGTCCCAGCTACTCCGGGAAGCTGAGATGGGAGGATCACTTAAGTCCATGCATTCAAGGTTACAGGGAGCTGTGACCAGGCTACAGCAATCCAGTCTGGGCAACAGAATGAGACCCTGTCTCTAAAAAAATAAATAAATAACTAAAAATACAACCTAAGTTTAACTCTGCAGTTACTCTCATTCATTAAGAAGTATGTTAACCCAGTAATTCACAAACTCTCTGGTTTGAGCACTACATCGTAAAATTTCATTATGCGTATGATTATAATCCAAACAATAAACCTGGTAATATATTTTACTGAATTTCAGAATGATATAACGGAACATGCAAGACTATCAAAAGGGTGCCAAAACAATCATTATAAAACATGAAAGGGGAAAAGACAAAAAGGATGTCTCATTTAAATCGCCCACATTAGAAACAGAATCACCCGAAGTAGCTACAGTAAGTTACACTCGGCATGGATATTCAGAATCTTTGGACCTAACACAAGGCATACTCATTAAAATATCCCTTACACTTAAAGCCACACAAGTACAGTATATTTTAAATTTACAGTAGATCAAAAGAGCCATTCTAGCACAGCAATTAAGAGTGCAGACTCTGAAATTAGACTGCATAGGTTCAAATCCATGCCCCTTAACTTCTTTGGGCTTCAGTTTCCTCATAAGTAAAATGAGGACAATAACAGCACCTATATTTACTTCATAGTGGAAGCTGGGAGGATTAAAGGAGTTAAAAACTTAAAGCACTTAGAACAGAATTCAGCATACACCTACACTCACTCATCATTAAAAGAGAGGGTCGCCATTACTACCTATGGTCATTGTAACAGTTTCACAGCTGCTTTGTTTACTTTTAATCACAGAAGACCTAGAGGTGATGAAATCTCAATGACCTCTGTACTGAAGGCACTGATTTGTGTTTATCTGCCCCTTTACACAGTAAGCTAAAAGACAGAAATCGTGTCTTATTTAACTCTGTCCCCATCACCAAACTCATGATCAAGTAAGTCAAGAAACATTTTGGTGTTCAAGCCATCCCAACTTTCACTCATTTTCCTCCCTAACTCTACACAGGTAAATTTTTATTTAAAAGCTACACAAAAAGAAATAATAATTGTAAGACAGTAGATAGGAAAGCAGTAAAAAAGACAACCAAGGCTGCCTTTCCCAAGACACCTAAACATTCCTGTGGGGGAAGAGTCCCTGTCAAGAGTTAAAAACAATCCCCTCAGCCCACACTGTCAACCACATGGAACTGGAAGAGCCAGGAAGAATGGCTGCCACCACTCATTCCTCTTATCATTCATTCCTGTCTTCATCCAGCATTTCCTTTCTTCGTGACAACACCACTAGATACCAGCTCACCAACATGCTATCCCCCTGCTCCACGAGTTCTCCCAAGGTAATTAACTATATACACTTACATATATAAAATGGATATGATCTCTTATTTGAGGTGGAAAAATAAGGATACCGTAACTCTTCCCTTTACCTTTGTCCCCAGAACAGTAATCCACTTCCTCTGACAAAGTGAACTGAAGTTGTCAGAAATCTCAACTGTGAAAGGCTGCAGAGTGACTAATCCTCTACCGTCAGCTTTCACTGACGGCGATCCCTCATATGTCTCTTCCACTTGCCTCGAGAGTTTTCATACTAGGATCCCTATGGCCCTACTGCCACAAGGAGAGGACAAGGTAAAGATGTGAGTAAGCCTCATAAGACTTTTTGGGGGCATTACCTCACAGCCACAGGGAACACAAAGAAGGCTTTTCTTAGCTCATTGCATTAAAAACCTTGCAGCCAAAGGAATTAGAGCAGTCCTCATTATCCAATTGCAATTAGCTTCTCACAGGTGAAAAGACCACACAGCCATTTCTCTTTAACAAGGACCACATTTCACAATGATGAAAGAAGGATTTGATTAGAATTTTCCAAAAAAATCTATTGTGTTCATAAAATATTATGTATTCTACTGATCAAAATTTAGATTACAATTTGCAACTATGCACTAATTCTTAGGACAAAGAACTAATGAATAGGTGGAGTGCTTGGGGCATAATTTTGTGACCAAACTGTGAAACAGCATGACGTGACAGCCTTAATTTCACATTTGCCTTTGCAAGACAATTATATAAAAGCCATTTTGACCAAAGAAAAAATTATACATTTCATAATTTTTCTCCTGGATCCTCTCATACTCCTTTTAAACTCTTTTAAAGTACCTCTTTCATAATTACCCCTGCTGGTTTTTCTCATCTAAAGTGATCTAGCATTGCCATATTCTCACTATAGCCTCTTTTTTTAATTATTAAAGTGAGTATATACAGTAAAGTGTACAAATCTTAATATTTTTACATATTCAGAATTTTTATATATACATAATGTAACCACCACATACCTTATGCTGTTAGGTGCTGGACAACTTTGGTGTTATAAATGTTTAAGTGGAGTTCAGCTTTAAAACTAGAGAATTCATCAGTGATAATTCCATATTACAATGATTTCTGTACAAATATATTCAAAACCTAATGTAAAAAGAAAAAAAATTCCAATACCCATTATCCTAGCATTTTTCCCCCGAACATACTTTAGATGATTCTTTCTACACCTTTTAAACAAAGAACTCTCTGCTCTATCCTTTTTCCTAAATTAGTTAAAAAGATCTCCAATTTCCAATCATATAGTTCCAAAGAAATAAACCTTATTCTTCTTTTTGTGAGTAGGTATTCTCCTCCGCAACTGTTATCTTCACATCCAATCACTCTCACAATATGCTTGCAAAATGTGTGTGGAATGTGAACTCTGCTCTGCCACAGCTAAAGCCTAGTTCCCTCCCTCACCAACTTTTGTCTGGAGTACGGAAACTGTCCTAAACTGGTCTCCCCCTTATAGTCTGTCTTTCACCCTGTCACCAAAGTCACCTTTCAAGAACATAAAGTTGAGGTAAGGCATCAAATAAGATCCTTCTACAGTTCTCACTGCCTGCAAAATAAAGTCACTCTCTTAGCTGAGAGTTCACAACCCGGCCCTAACCTTTCCTGGCTTCTCTCCCAGCAACACCTACCATACTTTGGTCTGATCCCTGGACACCATAAGCTCTCACTTGCCCTGGCTTTGTTCTGCTTCTCCCAATGCCTTTACCATCCAGTTAACTCCCTTCCTTTTCTGGCCAGGCCCACCCCAGAAGAACCAACTGTTCCCTTTTACGTGCTCTCATGGCTCTCTGTACCCACATCTATATTTGAGTCCTTATCACCCTTTATTAATTAATCATTTATTTATTTATCTCAACCATCTACAAACTTCTGGACCTAGGACTTCTGCCTGAACTCCTCAAGGGTGAGGTCAGGAGTTAATTTTTATATCCTAAAGACTTAGCAGGGCTATTCCATAAAGTTTCAGTGAAAGAATAAACGTCCTAGCCACTTTTACTCATCTTCTTTTTTCTTTTTTTTTTTGAGACGGAGTTTCGCTCTTGTTACCCAGGCTGGAGTGCAATGGCGCAATCTCGGCTCACCGCAACCTCTGCCTCCTGGGTTCAGGCAATTCTCCTGCCTCAGCCTCCCGAGTAGCTGGGATCACAGGCACGCGCCACCATGCCCAGCTAATTTTTTCTATTTTTAGTAGAGACAGGGTTTCACCATGTTGACCAGGAAGGTCTCGATCTCTTAACCTCGTGATCCACCCGCCTCAGCCTCCCAAAGTGCTGGGATTACAGGCGTGAGCCACCGCGCCCGGCCTCATCTTCTTTTTTCAACAAAGACAGGAAAAATTAGCACAACTATATTAAAACAACAGGCTTAACTAAAGCCAGTTTTCTTTTAAAACTCCCCCAGCAAATTATTCTTTTAAAAAATGTGATTAAAAACAAAAATCTCAATTGATCTGTGCTTCCTGATAGAAATTAGTCATAAATGGCCGAGCACAGTGGCTCAGCCTGTAATCCCAGCACTTTGGGAGGCCAAGGTGGGTGGATCACCTGAGATCAAGAATTCGAGACCAACTTGACCAATATGGAGAAATCCCCTCTCTATTAACAATACAAAATTAGCCAGGCGTGGTTCACATGCCTGTAATCCTAGCTATTCAGGAGGCTGAGGCTGGAGAATCACTTGAACCCGGGAGGCAGAGCTTGCAATGAGCTGAGATCTTGCCATTGCACTACAATCTAGGCAAGAAGAGCAAAACTCCATCTCAGAAAAAAAAGTAGTCATAACTCTGCTTCAAAATTCCTTTTTAACTAATGGGCAACAAAAGTTAAGATGAATATACAACTTAACCAAGGTAAATGTAATTGTTACCACACAAATCACTATTGGATGTCGATGGAATAAATCATGATTATTATTTATACAACTAAAAGATCACAAACAAAACTACTGGCTTGAAAAATGTGTTCATTCTAGGACATTGCTAGAATCTTTGAAAAAGAAAAATATAGATATTAAAAAAGAAAAATCTGTACATATATTAATGTTTCCCCTTAATACATAACACACCTGTATGTCATAGGAAAATAGTATATATGGTGGTTAAGAACAGAGGCTGGAAACACAATGCTAATTGTGTGATATGGAGAAATTAAACTTCAATATGCTTCAGTTTCCTCATCTGTAAAATAAAGATTATGAAAGTATCCACGTCGCTGTGTTGCTGCATGACTGAGTTGGCATATATAAGGCCCCTGATTCAGTGCCTGGTAGAGTACATGAATCCAGAGGAATAAATTTCAAGTATTTTCACTGTGTTTTTACCTTTTTTAAGCCCTGTTACATATACTGTCTTTTCTTTCCCTCCCAACAGTGCAGTGAGATTGTTTGAATACGAAACACTCACTTTAGAGATAAGACACTAATAGTAAAGTTGTATGATTACCCTAAGATATTTTTAAGTGGCAGAGTTTGGACAAAAAATCACACATAACGTCAACCCCATGCTGAGCTGACAAAATCTCCATGGATCCAATTTGGAAAAAAGAATCTTTTGGGTTTTCCCAATTGCTTTCTCCTGGTTGTCAGCAACAGCCAGCCTACAGACCTGGTGAAGGCAAAAGAAGTGTGCCATGTGCTCAAACTAAAAAGTAGAAGCCTAGCTTTCACAGACACTGACACACAGTTGGTACTCCAGAGACGGCAACTACTGATGACTGAAACACAGCACTACTGTTTTTCTCAGTTACAGAACAAGGTACTACTCCACAAAATCAAGCCTACTACCAAAAACAAAAGTCCCTGAATATGATGTTTATCTGTCATATCAAGCAAAGTACAATGTGCAATAGAAATCTAAAAATACGTGGCAATATTTATTTTTACTAACTCTCAAAAATAAATATGTTTTACAAAAAGGGCTTTCATCCAATCAGTTTTTTGGATGAAATAAGTTCTCTGACCAAATAAGTTAATGATATGAACAAATATTTCATCTTGGTAATGCCTTCAACACCTATCTTCAATACTTTTCTCGGGCTCTCAATCCCTAATCTCATCTACTGCGAGGTACACAAGAAATACAGTTAATGAACTTTAAAGGCAGATGCAATGTTTCCAGGGAACCCATCTGAACCAGGGAAGTACAAGAAAGCAAAACATCTCCACAACCACATCTAAGTACCTTACCTTTCCATTTCTTTTCTTCGAATCGGCAATTAGAAGCTATGGTACACCTTAAAGATCAGGTTTGGTATCCGCCTTGGCTAGGACCTACCCTTCTTTTCGTGGCACTGCCACTCTGGCACCTACAGGCAGGCCTTTGGCGCCTGCAGGACTCACAGGGAAGGCAGCCCCAACCCCTGCTCTCCACAGCTCTCGTCGAAGCCCCGCACGTGGTAGCCACTTGAGACGTTTCAGCGCTTGGGATTCAACAGGAGCAGAGCTCAGGTCGCGCTCCCAGACCCGCGGAGGTCGCGGCCGGAAGGTTTGGACGCTGGTCGCGTAAATACCGACGGGACCCTCTTCGCCCCGCGACTACCTCGTCCTCGCAGCTCGTGCTGCCCCTGGGCACCCTAAGCCTTCGCCAGCCTCCATGAGTCGCTTCCCCGCGCTTCTCCCACCTGAGCCAGCGACGCCAATGCCACCTGCACCGGGACCCCAACTCCCAGGCCAGTGGCCGTTACCGGGGGCCGCAGTTCGGGGGAGGCCCACGGCTCAAGAGGAAAACCCCGGGCTGCAGCTCCCCTTCCTGCACCTCTGAGATCCCCCGGCCGCCGCCATTTTCCTTGCGCCGTAACCCCACCTGACAGTTCCAGCCTCCCACCTGTGACAAGCAGGGCACGCCGCGCGACGCCGAGGGGGGCGCGTGGGCAAGCTGGGACTTCGTTGGGGTCACAACCTCCAAGCGGAACCCGCCGCTAATTCATCCCGTAGCGCGGAGGCGTCCGGCGGTCGCCCTAGTAATGCGTCCCGGAAGGCTACGTCCTAATTGGCTGCAGGCGCCGTGACGCAACGGCGTCCCCGGCTGCGTGGGAAGCCCGGGGGCCCCGGCACCCCGCCCCTGCCCCGTAGCCCGGGATACCCCGCGGTGGCGTTCTTTGAGAGCTCCTTTAAAGAGGCGGTGCTTATTTCCTCGACTGACCTTCTGGAGAGGAGTGACACATGGAGCGTGGTCGGGGGGGTGCAGGGGTAAGAAACAACGAGATAGGAAATTAGCGGAGGTCATTTGTCCGAGGGAACCTAATGGTTCTTCCAACCCCTGGAGCTGCAAAATGGAAAACAGAAATCTGGGAGTTTAATTTACAAGCATAAATTTGGTGCACGAAGTCACAGGACAGATTCGTGGAAGAAGCAGTTCTGAACCCAGGTTCTCTGATCAGGAGCACAACGTTTTTCCAGCACGCATACCATTTCCCAAATCCTAGAACATGTTTCCTCCCGGTTCCCATAGCAATTTCATCACATTGCTCTTTAAAAAGTCTCCATCACTTACCATGGTGTGTCTGTCCCCTAACCTACTAGATTGTAAGCTCTTGAATGGTGGGGACTGTGGTTAAACACCTTTTCATTTCCCTTATGCAATGCCCTCCTCAACTTGGCCTTCAACAAATGCAGTAAGAATCTTAAAAATAATAAACTTAGCTACACATCACAACAGCCACTCATCAGTCATTCATGTATGTATATTTGTTTTATCCAATTATTCAACAAGGCACAGAGGAGGCAATATTTTTCAATTACAAGGTACCTGACCTCACAAAATTTATAGTTTAATAATAATGACCATCTACATTTTGGCTGCATAGCTTCAATATAGCTGAATTATATCCCCAAATTCCCTGTAAATCAAAGATTCCTGTGCTTTTTGCCTAAATCAGCTTCATAATTTCTCTAAGTTTGTTCCAAAACATGTTAGTATTTAAATATGC